AGAGAGAGAGAGAGAGAGAGAGAGAGAGAGAGAGAGAGGCTCAGGGAGAGATAGAACGGGGTTCACACACACATACAGACGGAGAGAGAGAGAGAGAGAGAGAGAGGGGCGGCTCAGGGAGAGAGAGAACGGGCTTCACATAGACACACAGACTCACAGACACACAGAGAGAGAGAGAGAGAGAGAGAGAGAGAGAGAGAGAGAGAGAGAGAGAGAGAGAGAGGGAGGGAGGGAGACAGACATGCAAAAGCAGCGGCAGCCGCAACGGTAATCCAGAGGTAAGTGGCCTTTATCTTCAGCGACGGACGATGAAGGGAACCGCCAGTCGAACGCGCAGACGCCATTTTTGTTTGCTTGAAAACTTGCAGATAAACGGCCGTGAATTTTCCTTGTGACGTCGAATCCGTTTGCCCGCCAGACGCGCAAGGTTTTTGTTACCCGCGTTGTCTTGCTCCCCCGCCGTGCATCCGTTTCTGAATGGGATCCGGATGATTGCTTAGCTGTCACAATCTCTCAGCGATGACGACTGGAGACGCGATTGTACATGCCAACGTGTCATTCAGACGCCCGTTCGTTCCAATTGTGGAATTCATAAGAACTACCTCACCTCTCCGCCTCTCCCGCTCCCCCCCTTCTCTTCCTCCTCCTCCTCCTTCTCCTCCTCCTGCTCCTGCTCCGCCTCGTCCGCAATCTCTCTCTCTTCTCGATTTGGCTGGAAGTCTGGTCTATCAGGCTTGGCTGGGGCCGTCGTTCACGCGGGCGTCGTTCTTCTTTGCGTAGCCACCACTTCGCTCTACTCTTTTTTGGCTCTCGACTCTGCGTTCGAATCCCCGCTGTGTTGCGTGCACTCTCTCGGCGGGAAACGAGGGCGAGGAGTTGCCTCTCCCATCGAGGAAAACCTTCACCTTGTGCGCAAGCTCAACTCGCCGACAACGTCCTCTCCACGGAGGAGAGAACCTTCCTCATCTCCTCTTTTATGATACCGGCGGTGGCTTCGGGACACCCCCCTATGCGGCGTTGGCGTCTGTAGCGGAGAACATCATCATCATCACGGGCGCATCGACTTCTGGCAATGAACTGTTCAAATCCAGACCCGAGTTCAAATCCGGCTGCCGATCAGATGAACAGAATAAAATACAGTAATTCTGAATAACCTGGGGCTCAATGATCATATCTTTCTTTGTTTCTTTCTTTCTTTCTTTCTTTTTCTGGCCCAGGGCTACGGCCTCCAGGGTGGTAATAGCCCCTGGTGGTAGTAACCCGGGGCTAGGTCCCACTTGCACGAATTAAGAGATACTGACTGTAGATAGCAAAGATCAACGTGGGATCTTGCCCCGGCGGACATTAGATGGCTCCGATCTATTCGTGGGGAGCTGCACCCGCTGGAAACCGGGTCCAGCGTCCCCTCGAATACATCAAAGGTTTACCGAACAAGTAGTCCTGCCTATAGGATGTGTTGTAGTACACAAACCTCTTCACCTACAATCGGGCGCCAGCTGTATAAATGTAAACCAGCCTGTGAGTACCTCTCGGCCATGCTGGCCAGCATGCTGTCCAAGGTTTCATGTTAGTTCCATGCACAATCCACTGCAACCAGCACCAAAGTTATGACGGTTTTTCCAGTTGAAAAC